TTTTTGAAAACACCCCCCCCCCCCCCTCCTGTTTTCAAAAACAATTTTTAGTCTCTTTTGTCATCACAACTCCCCAATTGTACATATCAAACAAGATGGTAGTAGAACCCAACCTTGCCCACCCCACAACGTCTAAAAATCCAAACCGAGTCCCGTCTCATCCAACTTAAGATGCCGAAGAAAAAAATGCACAAAAATCTTTCAAAAAGGCAATAGCCTCAAAGCAACCAGCTATGGCTTCAACTCAAACAGCAACTCATTCAACTCTTGCTACTCCTACTTCTCAAGTGACCTCACAAAAATTGCCCGATGGCACTGATGGAAAGACACCCCATAAATGGCCAACACTTGAAAAAACAAAGTTACTTGAATTGATCATTGATCAGACTTCAGCTGGACTCGAAACCAACAATGGTAATCTGAAGAAGGAAGGCTGGAAAGCCATTATGAATGGAATAAATCAGTACTTCAATATCCACCTTACTTGTTATCAGATATTCCAAGGACTCTACTTTGATTACAAATTTGTGTGCAATCAATTGTGAGAATTTGGGTGTTGTGTCCTTCTTATTTAGATAGAGTTGATGAAAGAGTGAATTGCTTGACCAAGATAAAAAAACTTTAACAATAACACTACTTTGATTCTTCAATAACATTTTTGAGATCCAAGAATTGACTGCCTTGGACTGAAAGTTTATTGGAGGAGGATGGTTGTGGTGTGGTGTGTCTTGAAGTTTGTGAAGATGTTGTTCTGAGTTGATTATTCTTCTTGTATTGGATTCCGAATGAGATGAACAAGTTCAGAAGTCAGATCTTCAAAATTGGAGTATTGAAAATCCAGATACTACATACTACTCCTTTTACAATCAGGGTGTACTTCAGTTGAAAAATCTTCTGTGGGGCAGTTGTTGAAAAAACTGAAATCAATTGAGGTTTGGGCGGGACCATGAGGAAAGAACCGTAACAGCTGATCCCAAAGGTTTGGGAAGAGCTCATCCACGCTCATTCACATTATAATTTTGTGAAACTTAACACTGCAAAAAAAACTCACTCAACTGACTGCAGTTGACATGCAGAAAGTCCAATTAAGGTTTTGGTGTTACTCCCACCTTTCTCCCAGAGTGATTCCACCAAGCTTTTATGCACAGTCACTGTGCAGAC